AGAGCACATGAGAGGGGGGAGGGTCAGAGGGAGAAGCAGGCTCCCTGCCGAGCAGGGAGCCGGATGCGGGACTTGATCCAGGGACTCCAGGATCATGACCTGAGCCGAAAGCAGTCGCTTAACCAACTGAGCCACCCAGGCGCCCAAGTAACATTTACTCTTAAAACTGTGAATTCTTGCATGTGGTATTAGTTAACTACCAGCCATGAGCAACCACTGTCCTTCCAAATGGCAGAAAGAGAAAACAGATTTTGAAGCACCATTAGTTGGTAGAACTAGAGAGCCTTCGGCTGGGGTGTATAATATAACTTCTGAAAATATTCTGCTGCGTTTCTGTCCCCACAGGTTGGCAGAGACCAACACTCGGGTCTTCCTCTGGCTTAACCTCTGACCACTTTTACTCCACACTCACCAAATGAGACCTACACACAGTCCCATTACATGAAAATTGAAATGAGCAACTCTGATGGGAACCATATCAGCCAACCCCTAACCCATTAGGGCATTTACTAAAGATAATCTAAGGGGCTTTCCTCCTGCTCACCAGTGCTTCCCTTTAGTTCTCTGCCCCCAGAGTGCCCTCCCACGAACCCATATTTTCTACACCAGAACTTAGGAGGCTTGCTTTCTTCTCCCAGCCAGGTGCGAGAAGACACTTTCCGGGTGTTCCTGGCCTCACTAGGGATGCCTTTTCATTAGAGGGCCAAGAGGAGGAAGAGAAACGGTGTTGAAGCTTCCTCTCCTTAGCACATGTATGAGAAGAAGCTGGGTTACATAGAATATGCCCTGTTAACCTGGCAGACCTTCTACCATCACTGCAGACCTAGCCCCTCACCACCACCACCACCACCCACCCAGCCCTCTGAATTTGAGGCGACTGCTCCCAAAGGCAGACTCCTTTTGCTTAGAAGACACAGCGAAACCTTTCCTGGCTACTCCCCGGGCCTGGTCCTGCAGAGGCATTGGTTCTACCTGCTGCCCAAGCCTGGACGCTCGAGGATGTGGACTTGGAGAAAACCTGGCGTCGCCCTCCCTGCCCCACCAGGTCAGACCCTAGAAGACTCCTTTTCCTTTGGCCAGGGACCTCGCTAACGGCCAGGGGGCTGTCATTTTCCCCCGAGGCTCCTGTCCTACGAGGGGTCTGTCATTGTACCCAGAGGCTCCCGTCTTACCCCGAGCATGAGCCTCGAGCCTCGCGGCGAGTCGGCGGCGCGGCTCTTCCGGAGGGATCCGGTTCTGGGCTCTCCCCGCGGGACCAGGGAGGTGCCACGAGCCGGAGAAGGAAACCTTAAAAATATGCCTTCCCTCCCCGGGGCTTAGGTGTCCTCGCGCCCGGAAGCCCAGGGGCCGAGGTCCCCGAGCTGCTGCTCTAGGGCGATCCCCTCCGGATTTCTTCCAGGAAGAAAAACAAAACAAAACGCACCCAGACTCCACGTGGGTCTGCACGACCTCCAGAAGGGCCCTGGCTTCAGAGGCCCGCGAAGGAAGGCGCAGGTTTGGGCTCTAAATCAGGAGAGGAGTCCAGCGCAGCGCGGCACGGAGAACGCTCCGGCCAGCCCGTGCCCCTGGCCGGGCCCATCGCCCCGGAGAAATTTCTCTCCCCGTTGCCACGAACGCCAGGGGTGGGGAGGAGAGGGCTGCGGTGCTCCACAGCCTCGCCCCCCACACTGGCGCGGGAGGAGGCTGGCCGTGCGTCCGCCGGGGGCTCCCGGGCACTGCTCGGCCACCAGGCAGGCGAGGCCGCCGGGTCCCGGGCTCAGGGCCGGTCGTCCCGTGCAACCCCTTCCCTGCACTTTCTCTTAAAGCGCTTTGCGGAGAAGAGAGGAGGATTAGGCTCCCTCGGCGGTGCAAAAGGCAGCCCTCACAGAAAGAGAAAAATCAGCAAAATCGCCTTAGTAGTTCAACCAAAGGTCAACAGCAGCATTTCCCCAGCAGCTGACAGGTCAAATGGCCAGGAAACAACTGGCGAGAACAAAGCCCCCCGCTGTTCGACAGGGGCGAGCCCCGCTCGCCGGCACTGAGTGAGGTTGTTGTGCTTTTTGGAAAGGGCGGCGGGGAGAGGTTTCCGCCCCTCCTCCCGCCACCACCTCCCTTCCTCTCGGGTGAGCAGGTCCGGAGGGAAAAGGAAAGGAGGGAGGAGGCGAAGGGCGCCTGCAGGGAAAAGAGCGGCTCTTTGAAGGCCTGGGTCTGAAACGCTTCGCGGGTTCGGAGGCCGGGACCGGACGCCGGCGAAAGAATGCGCGGAATGCGGCGGTGGGAGGCAGGGGCGCAGCGCGGC